TACTTATGTATGCATTCATTGGTTGATTCTTGTATAAGCCGTGCCTGGGGATTGAGCCCTCAACCTTGGCATATCAGGCAACACTTTAACCAACTAAGCTACCTGGCCAGGGCCTGTGATTAATTTTTTTAAAAAAACTTGCCCTTGTTTCACCACTATGAATAAAGTATAGTTGATGAAGTTTGGGGACATTAGCTGAGATCCATCAAGTCCTTTGACAGCAAGTGAAAGCACCTTTTTGCTTTCTCATCAATAACTGGGTTCTCAAGAACTGGTTCCTAAATTAGTGACTGAAAATATTGGTGATAATGGTCCAAAACCTCATTTACTTCTTCTCCCTGCCATTATCCCAAGAGAATATGGCTTGTTCTGGGGATCAGAGATGACTTAATTTTGTGGTATGAAAATAGGAATTAGAGGAAGCCAATTAGGAAACCTCAAGGAAGAGGAACTATCTCTAGGCTAAATAAAGGGAAGGCTGTTGAATCTTATTTCCTCTCTGTTTTTGACTCACTTTCTTGGTTCCTAGCCAACCTCTGCACTGCCCTATCCTCACCTGACCAAGGGGCTGGAGTGGGGCTGGATGTAAGGGTGAGGATGGTGAACAGAGTGAATAAAGTTAAATACCATTCATAAAGACACAGGGTGAAGGGAAGCATTACGAGTTGGAAATATCAACGAACTGTTTGAATCTTACTGTCCCCATCCTCCTGTCCACAGTCATGGGTGAGGTTGCATGTGTGTGGGACGGGGGGGGGGGGGGGGGGGGGGTTTAAGAATTGGCTGCTTTCCGAGTTAAGAAAACAGACTGAGTTTCTCTTCTGAACAATAGCAGAGTAAGTGCAGGTTGGTGTAAAACTTGGTTTCCTTCTATATTAGGGATAGATCAAAGCAAAATAGCCAGCAATCTAGGCCTTACCAGTCCCTTTCACAGAGAAAAACTGAGTTCAAGATTACTAGTAGGTGGCTTATTGTTTCTGTAGTAATTAATATTTTTGTCCTCTATACCTTTAAGGTTGATACAATATGCTCACCTTTTGGCCAAAGTCACCAGGTTAGTCTGTGGCAAGGTTCCAATTCAAATTCAGCGCTTCTGACACTCAGAGCAGAGCCTGACCATGTTCAAGACTCAGGTCCCTCTCTTCCCCATCTTACTTTTCACTGGAACATTTGCTGGTTTCTCAAGCTGTAAGGCTTTCCTGTTATCATACCTCAGGGGAAGTTGTATGTTAAAAACCACCAATGGGTAAGCTCAAGCCAGCTCCTTCCAGTATGCTGTGGAGACCCACAAGAATTCTCAGTGTTTCTCAAAGCCCATGGCTTTCAGAAACTAAAGATCAGTAGGTCAGTTGAGCACTGGGTTATTTAAGGGGGAATTTGGTAAAATGAGAAAAATATCAAAAGTTGTAAGAGATAATATTGATGTTGTCATAGCTTAAACTGAAAGCTAAAGGTTTGGGCTCTATAGAGGGGTAGTTTAGTTAAATGGCCTTTGGGTTGCGCTGATAAAAGTTTATTCCCTTTCACATCAAAAGATGGCATTATTGTTTTGGGGGATGAACGATATAATCCAGGCACTGAATTAAAGGAAGCAGGGAGGAGGGGAATGCCAGTTGTGTGACTGCTATGTTGCTAGACACCATTTTGTACTCACCACTAGTACTGGAGGGTGAGAGAACCACACTAGATTTTACGGACAAAGTGGGCAGGGAAGTAAGTGTTGCTTTATTGGAATCTGGTCAGGTAAGAGGTTTTTGAGTAGAAGCATAATCAAATGCCTCATGTAAGCACACCCCAACTCACATTTGATACTTCATTTGTCCCTCTCCTTTGCCTATAAAATATAGAACTGGGGTACAGAGAAACCATCCTTTTCTCCCTCCCAGAGACTGAACCAGAATGACAATTCCTAGGCAGCCCACCATAGTTATTGGAAGAACTGCAGGATTGAGATTGGTGTGAGTATGATTTAAAGAGAGCCAGGTTCTTGCCCTTAGTCCCCTGAGGAAGCATCTGATTGGTGAAAGTCTGGCCAGGGGTCTGGGCAGAGCTATCCCTCCCTCCAGCTGTTCACCCAGAGCTGCTACCTCCCTAGCTCTGTCCTGGCCACACCGGACCTTTGGGGCCCCTTAACATTGGGAATCCCAACTTTCCTAAGATACTCTATTACCCGTGTTCATGGCCAACTTACAGGGCGATGTGTTTCAACATCTGCTAATAGCACATACACTTAGTGGCCCGATTATTTTGATCTTTGAATGCATATAATCTGGCCATTTAGTGTATGTCCTCTATAATAAAAGGCTAATATGCAAATTGTCCCCTTGACCAGGAGTTCCACCAGCAGGTAGACCGGCCAACCACCCATGTTCCCTCCCCTGGCAAGACTGGCCAGACCCCACCTATGCACGAATTCATGCACCAGGCCACTAATATATATATATATATACTGAGTGGCCAGATTATTATGCATTCAGAGATCATAATAATCTGGCCACTCACTGTAGAAACACAGTGAGTGGCCAGATTATTCCATGGCTCTGAAACTTCCAGCAGAGCATCCTAAACTAAGGGCTAAATTCTTATTTGTCTTTAAACGCATGGCATTCGGCCTGTCTGCAGTCACTGGGAACTTACCCTGCCACTCTTTACCTTTGCCTTCTGGGTAACCCCTACCTTCCACCTACCTCCACGCCCAGGGGAGAATGTGAGCCTTGCCAAACGAAAGTCACCAGGAGATTTTCCAAGATGCACGAGATGTCAAGTCATCTCTGAAATTTTTCAAAAAACCAGAAAGTCATTTCAAAAAGTCTAACTTGGTGGCCCCACAGAGAGGAAGATCAAACTTTCCACACCAACACAGCAAGTCTGCCCCCATAGGCTTGTGTTAAAGTTGCAGGAGTATTTGTACTCAGACTTTGGTGAAAGCTCAACCCAAGGGGAAGTCCACCTGGTTGAGCAGATTAGCTGCTGCTTGGCACACAGTGAAATCTGCTACGAGGGGATTTCCCTTAGCAATGGAATCAGCAAGGGGTTTTGTCTTTCTGAAGGATTTCCCAGAGGAATTCATTTGCCTATGTGGGAAAAATCTCAAATTCTAAAATAAAATCTCTGACCTTTTTAAAGTTTTTGAGATCTGGATTTCTCATTTATTCACAAATCTCTTCAAATAAAAAACCAAACATAATAGAAAACCCAAATAGTGAGAATGCATACTCAGTGAATGATGTATTTCATGCTAGGCACTGTTTGGCATTGAGATATACTGGAGAACAAAACACATCTAATTCTAGCTTTCATTTTGTGTTTGTATTGAAAATGAGGTTGATTCTTTCCAGTATTAAAGTGTATGTAGCATCCGAAATCCTATGTGTCTTTCAGGGCCCAGCTTAAATGCAATCTCAAGAAGGAATTAGGATTTGTTTAATGTGAGAAATAATTCTTTCAGCCTGCAGTCTGTGTAGTTTAAAATATCCCCAAACTTCCCTAGCCAATGTGGCTCAGTTGGTAGAGCATCCTCCCATGTACATTACACAAAGCTCACTCAGAGTCTGAGAGAAAAAATACTTAAAAGGTCAGGAGGAGCCTTGCCAGTTTGGCTCAGTGGATAGAGCGTCAGCCTGCAACTGAAGGGTCCTGGGTTCGATTCCAGTTAAAGGCATATGCCTGGGTTGTGGGCTCAGTCCCCAGTAAAGGGCATGCCAGAGGCAGCTGATCAATGATTCTCTCTCATCATTGATGTTTCTCTCTCTCTCTCCCTTCCTCTCTGAAATCAATAAACATTTTTTTTAAAGGTCAGGAGGAATTGGTCCTGAGTGAAGGGACTTTTATCAGGACACTTGGGAATTAGGCAGAGCTGGAAAATACCCTGTGTGCCAGAACTGCACTTAAGTATTTTCTCAATCATGTTTCAGTTTTGAATTTTTCTTCTGGTTAATGAATAGAAGTTTATTTAAAAAAAAAAAAAAAAAAAAAAAAAAAAAACTCTTGAGAAACTGGAGGTGCCTCAAGAAACTGCTTAAGAAGTTCTTACAAAATTTTCTTTAAATGGAAAGTGAATTTAAGAGGAAATGCATTGAAGAGGTAAGAATCCCTCCTTAAGAATGTACTTACAGCAGGCATTCAAGTGGTAGAAACCTTGCTATATCTGGCCTTCCTAGGGGGGAGGGGCACACAAGCCTAACATGTTTTTCAATTTATATTCAGAAGAAACTTTTATTGCCAGTGGCTACCAGAATCTAACTAAAATTAATGGCTGCAATCCATTTCTCCCCACAGCGGGAAGGAAAGTGGGTGGGTAAAGAAGAGGCTAGAAAGGGTTGTGGATTCATCGCCAGTGAGGGACATGCAGGAGGCAGCCAACTAATGATTCTCATCATTGATATTTCTTTCTTTCTCTTCCTCTCATATATATATATATATATATATATATATATATATATATGTGTGTGTGTGTGTGTGTGTGTGTGTGTGTGTGTGTGTGTGTGTATAATTATATATATTTATATATAAAATTTATATATAGAAATTTAGGTTAGAAAGGACGCCAGCAATCTAGACGCAGGCTGGTTATACTGGGCCCAAAACTAACGAGAGATGAGAGATTGTGGAATAACACGACCCAGTTAGGTCACACTGAATGGCAAAATCACTACGCTGGGCCCCAGAGAGTTTTTTCGCTCTTGCTATAGTCATTCGTTCTCCAGATGACAGCTCCACACCACAACCGCGTTTCACCCGGCTTCCTGAAGCTGCGCAGGCACGGCCCTGACGCATGCGCACGCCGAGCCCCAACGTCCCTTCCCCCACGCCCCCGGGGGCGGGGCTCCGAGCGCCCTCCGCGCGCGCACTGACGCCGGGGTCGTGTGCTCGGCGCGCGAGAGCGGATGAATCCGGCCGATGCACCGGAAGCAGTCGCTGCGGCTTCCGGAGGGGCTTGTACGCCTGGTTTGCGCGCTACCGATCCCAGAGACCGTTCTTGAAGTGGTGGCTGCTTCAACATGTCCCGCGGTTCCAGCGCCGGCTTTGACCGGCACATTACCATTTTTTCGCCCGAGGGTCGGCTTTACCAAGTAGGTGAGTGAGCCGGGTCCGCCTTGGATCCACTCGAATTGCTCTGTCACGGCGCGGCCTGGAGTTCAGGCCGGGCCTGAAGCATGGCCGGAGTTGGGACGGGAGAAGGGCCTCGCCTGGGTTGCCGTCCCGGGGTGTTCCCACCCCAGACCGGAGGCAGGGGGCCGGGCCCGAAGGCTGAGGCCTCTGGCTGTGGAGGCGGGCGGCTCCGCTGCCTGGATGGACACGGTGAAGAGTGAAGGAAGGCAGGACCTAGATGTCTGACTCCTGACTTCCTGAGGCCGATTGACTAGTTTCATTTTGGCGTAGGTGGACTCCATGTCTGTACTTCTCTAAAGGGTCATTAGTTCCTTAACCTCCCGATTGAAACGTTTGCTCCCCGTTTTCCATTGTTTGCAGCATGCAATTCCTTGTCCCGAGGTAGGTGTTTGCGCACAGGCAGTCGGAGCCTTCTGTGTGCCAGACACTGCTGGTCCTAAGGGGCACAAAGATGTCCCAGCCTCTCTTACATGGAAGCTCGCAACGTAAAGGGAATGCCAGATAACGTAAACAAGCGGAGAAAAAGAAAAAAATACCAAGTTACTGGTGTCTGCGGAGTTCAGGACATCTTTGGAAAACTGGCGGATAGAATGAGTGATCGTCAGCTGTAGAGCTGCCGGTGAAACATCCCCTTTTAACCCATGTCTGTTTGACTCCTGTAGTTCAGTGAGTTTAGCACCTCATGCCTTGGCAAGGACAGTAGTACAGCCTGTGTTTGGGAATCATAGGATAGGGTTGGCCTATGGATGAGGTTCTCTTCACCTGTAGGGTTTTAGAAATAAAGTTAATTTGGAGTGAAACCAGCCCATTATATGGCTCTATACTTAATATAATGTAGCAAGAAAACAACATCATATTGGGTAATTCGGTAACCCTTTTAACTCATCCCCAATTAAAAAATATGATCAATATTTTGATCAGTAATGACCAATATCTACACAAAAATGATCAATGATATCTAGTAGAATGATTTTAAACGCTGCCTTGTAAAATAACACACTCCCACTGCTATTCAGGATACTATAAGACATTGTTAGGAAAAGGAAAGTGAAAGAATAGTTGGTATGAGCAAGCAGTATTGTGGTGAGGATTCAGGCCCTGGAGCCATAGCCTGGGTTCTGATACCTACTCTGCTCCGTACTAGCCAATCAAGTGACATAACTTTAGCCTAATTTCTCTTTGCAAAATAGGCCTGATAATTCCTTGTGGTTGTTTTGAGGATTAAATAAGGTGTTGTATGTAGAGTAATTGTACAGTATTAAGTGCTCAGAAAGGGTTATTAGATTCCTGTTTTTCTTTTTTGATGTATTACATTGGTTGCTCTGTAGACCTGGAATATATTCCTTTTTATAGTTTATGCATGCTGAGTTCTCTAGTAAAATATATGTACATTATCTTAATATCATAAGTGATCTTTATTAGTTTATAAACTTTAGAACCTGCCTAAGGTAAAATATATAACAATTTTAGAATGCAAACTTTAACGTTGATAGTGGAAAATAATATAACAAAAGTGGGGAAATGACAAGGGAAGGAAAGCTTAATGGAAAATGAGTATAGCATGGCCCAGTGGTTGTGCATCTACTTATGAACCAGGAGCTCATTGTTTGATTCCTGGTCAGGGCATATGCCCAGGTTTCAGCTGGATCCCCAGTGGGGGGTGTGCCAGAGGCAGCCAATTAGTGATTCTCTCTCATCGATGTTTCTATCTCTTCCTTTCCCTTCCTCTGTAAAATCAATTAAAAATATATATTTTTTAAAATGACTATGCTTCTCATCTTTCATGGTTGAGACTCGAGAGAAATGTAGTCTAAAGTTGACAAATAAAAAAATAGAAGTATAAATTTAAAGTTACAATGCTAACGATAATTATAAACAAACTGTTGACAGTGTTTGCTTCCAGGGAGTAGGAAGGAAGATTTTTGAAAAATTGATTTTAGAGAGAGGACTTGGGGGGAGGGAGAAAGAGGAATATCAATGTGAGAAATATCAAATGGTTGTCTTCTGCACGTGCTTTGATGGGATTTGAACCTGCCACCTTTTGGTGTATGGGACAACTACCATCTGAGCCACACTGGCCAGGGCAGTGAGAAAGATTTTTTTAAAAAATTGATTTCAGAGAGGCAGGGATAGGGGGAGAGATAGAGAGAAATATCCATGATGAGAGAGAACCATTGATCTGCCTCCTTCACACCCTGTATTGGGGATCAATACTCATTTTAAAATAGTGTTTCTCAACCCAGACTTCTAATGCCTTCCTTGAATCTGATTTAAAGTTTAATGTCGGTGTGTACACATGCATACATCTGTATGTATGCAGACATAAACGCATACCTATTATATGTATTCATAAATACATACCTATTATAACTACATACAAAAAAGTAACGAGATCAAACACTGCTATGTTTTAAAACTTCATATTCCCCTTCCCACCACTGCTAAGATTTTTAGTGACTCCATCTGCTTGTAGGTCACTGTTGGAAAGTGTAATAGTTGGAGGCACTTGAAACACACTTCCCGTTTAGGTTACAAGGTTAGAGAAAGAACAACTTCCAAAACCTTAACAAAAAGTTTCTAATCATAGGCATTGAAATTGAACATAAATATATCCTGCAGAGTACCAACCTTCTTGCCTCAGAATAGTTCTTTTAATAACCAAATTTCATAGAATGTATGGATCTTTCAATTTATTTTTCACCAGCCCGTGAAAAATGGGGGAGGGGGTGGTATTGTTTCCCAAAACTCAGTCAACACTTTAAACAAAATTATGAGTGAGAAAAGTCTTAAGATGCATTCCTATAATTGTCAGAACTTCAAAATCATCTGAAGATGCTGATGAGCATGCAAAAAGGGGATATGCTCTCCACTATTGGTAACATGCTGTGAGCCATTTGCCTGGAATTGTGTACTTGCCCTGAACACTGTCACAATGTCTTTTATAATTAGTTCCTGTTTCCCCCCAGTATTACACAAACGAGTCCCAGAAATGTTGGGAAAGTGTTGGGGAAATTTGTAGGGAAGGAAACAAAATAAGAGGTTACTGGGGAAAAGGTTACTATACAAAACAATTATTTACTAACCATTTTATTTGTGATCAAGGAAGCATTTTAACCTTAAGGTTTGCTGTTAGGTCAATTTTTATAATTTTTTTTTTTTTACCTATAAAATGACTTTCATGTGGTTCAACCAAATATTTACATATAGGTACATATTTTACTATTATTTAAGTTACAATCAAAAAAATTGGGGACTCAACAGTTGAGTGTAATCTGTTATAATTTATCCCATTTAAAAAATGGGAAATGGACTCAGCCAGCATGGCTCAGTGTTTGAGCGTTGGCCCATGAACCAGGAAGTCATGGTTCTATTCGTGGTCAGGGCACATGTCCAGGTTGCTGGCTGAACTCCCTGTAGGGGGCATGCAGGAGGCAGCCATTGAATGTTTCTTTCTCTTTTCTAAAAATCAATAAAATATAATTTAAAAATGGGAAATGATTTATCTGTTATTTTCCTGCTTAGTCTTGGGCATTCAACAACAGATTACTAAGATTACCATAATAGTGTTTGCTAGTTTTGCAAATTTCTGACATTTTATCCAAATAAAATAAAATCTTTAGTTATGTAAATAAAGTGTATAATTACTATTTCCAATTCTGGCTTTAAAAAATAAATATGCCTTTTCAATGCTGCCCGTAAACCATTTTGTTTTTTTCTTAAGTGGCCTTCCTTCTCACCTCTGCTATGGGGGGCTGCGAGGGGAGGACGCATTATTTGTTTCTTTAGAAGATAGTCTTTGGTTATTATCTCTAGGTCCTTTACGAGGCAGTTTCTATTTTCCTGGAATTTATTACACAATATATATATTTTTTGAAGTAGTATTATAATGGGGATTTAAGTATACAAAATTTTATTGAAATTTATAACATGGTGAGTACTAAAATAACAGTACAAAGTAAGGCACTGAAGGAAGTGACACTTCCAGGGAGAGCCAAGAAAGGTTCCTCAGAAAAGATGACTTGATTTCGATGGAGATTAGGTAAGGAACTTTTGGGGGATCAGTACATAGGTCAGTGTGACTGGAGCATAGACAGTTGACAACTGGAAAAATAAATTGTAGCAAAAATTTTTTTAATATATTTTATTGATTTTTTACAGAGAGAAAGGGAGAGAGATAGCCAGTAACGTCGATGAGAGAGAAACATCGATCTGCTGCCTCTTGCACACCCCCTACCGGGGATGTGCCCGCAACCAACGTACATGCTCTTGACCGGAATCAAACCTGGGACCTTTCAGTCCACAGACCGACACTCTACCACTGAGCCAAACCAGTTTCGGCAAATTGTAGCAAAATTTTAAAGAGATTTAAAGAGATTTGGGTACCATGCTAGGGTTTGGATTTTGTCCCATGAGTTTTGGACATAGCTAGCAAAAGTCATTAATAGTGACAGGATTGCCCAAACCAGTTTGGCTCAGTGGATAGAGCGTCGGTCTGCGGACTGAAAGGTCCCAGGTTTGATTCCGGTCAAGGGCATGTACCTTGGTTGTGGGCACATCCCCAAGAGGGGGTGTGCAGGAGGCAGCTGATCGATGATTCTCTCTCATCGATGTTTCTAATTCTCTATCCCCCTCTCTTCCTCTCTGTAAAAAATCAATAAAATACATATTTTTAAAAAAGTGACAGGATTATTAAGTCCAAATGCAGGAGGGTTGAATGTAGAATTAGAATTACAGTAGAAAGGGACTGATGGCAGGAAGACCAACTAGAAACTTGTTCACTAGTCCATGTAAACCTTAATGAGGTATTGAGAGAGAAAGGTATAAAGAGGAGACTAAGTAGATATAAAAGTGGACACTTGAGAGAGAAATCAAGGATGGTACCCAGGTTTGTAGCTTGGAAAACTGAGTGATTAGTAATACCATTGATATTAGGACTATAAGAAAAGTAGAAGATTTACAGAGAG